GTCGTGTCGGCTAAAAACTCGCTTTATCATAAATTCACTATTCACGCTTCCCGATATCGTGCCGGTTCCGTCGTGAAACTTCGTCGGGTCATAACTTCTTCGTTATAACTCGGATTTCGGCGTTCTTTATATCTCCGGAATCCTTGTTTTGACCACTACAACTTTATGTAAAGATATCGGGCTTATCTCATATTTTAATTTTGACGCTTATTTTTATTCTTTATTAATTATACATTTATAATTAAATAATAAGCACATAAATTCACAAAATACTCAAATATTTCATTTTTATTACATCAAAAGAGTTACAATAGTTGACCTAGACTATTACATCGTCTAAAAATGCTTAGCCCCGAAACCCGGGCGTTACATCTTAATGGGTTAAGGCCTTGTATTAAGAACTTATAGACGTGTAAAGTCATAAAGTTGGAGACTTTATGACTCTAGGGTGCATTTGGATCATGGATCTCTAATATGGGCTTAAGTGCTTAAGCCATTAAGCACTTAATGGAATTTTGGATCTGCGAGGGTACGCCCCGCGTACGGAGGAGTACGCCCCGTGTACTCAGTCAACAACCCCGCTGGTGGTCAATGTGAAGTTCACGTACGCCCTGCATACCTCCGGTGTACGCCCAGCGTACGTCGTCTGTGGGCTTTTGAGTTTGGGCTTCGAGTTTTGGGCCGCCTTTTGGGCTTGTATGCTTGGGCCCTCATTGGACTTTCTGAGTATGAGTGTTTTGGGCCAGTTAGAGAGTTGGACCTTTGGATAAGGCCCAATAAGGGGTTGGGCCCAATTTGGAAAATTAGGCCAATTATGGGTCTTGAAGTAATTTGGGCCTTTGAATCAAAATTAGACATTAGGCCTTGGCCCAATTGGGGAAAGGGTAAAATGGACATTTACCCTAAGCATGAATCCTTAGTCAAGATTGGTAATCCAATTGTTAATTGGATGTTTATTTTTTTGTGATAGTTTGGGATTCTTCGTGAGCCAACAGCCGGAGGTTTTAGTGTGGTTTGACATTATGAGGTGAGTTTTCCTCACTGTACTTTCGGATCGAAGGCACCAAGGCCGACCCTTTGGTTTGATAACCTAATATCGTTGATATGTCGAGTATCGAATTAATATGCATGTTAGTCTTGATATGCTAGTCTGGTAGGTCTGTAAGGCTACCTGTGATACTGTTTATTTATCTGAGTATGTTATTATCTGTTATATGTCGACATATTGTGTGGGTTGGGTTGAGGCCGTACTGCTCCGTGCTGTAGCCAAAAAACCCTATAGCATACCAGATATGAGCTGAGGGCCGGGGAGGGCATGCCAGACTCGTACTGTGGGCTCATTAGCATTCCAGATGCGAGTTGAGGGCCGGGAAGGGCATGCCAGACTCGTACTGAGGGCTTAGTGGTATTCAGTCTGAGGACTGATCAGGCCGGGGAGCAAGCCAGACATAAGTTGTGGGCCCATGGGGCAAGCCAGACTTATGTTGTGGGCTTAGGGGTAATCCAGTCTGTTAGCTGTGGACCCATTACATGCTGTTATTATACTTGTGCTATTTGTTATGTATTGGTATTTTGGGGGAACTCACTAAGCTTTGCGCTTACAGTTTTGGATCATGTTTCAGGTACTTTAGAGGATCGTGGGAAGACGAAGGCGTGATCGTGCACCTCCTCATGTTTTTATTTCACGATTTTGGGATTTCTATGATATGAACTTATTTTGAAAACAATTTGTAAACAATGATGGTTTTGAGTATATTTTAAAATTTTAAAATTTTAAAATTTTAAAATTTTTGAGAATTTTATGAATGTTACAAAATAAAAATCAAAATAAGATACATTTGTAGTATTGGTCTTTGTAGTACTTTTTATATTTTAAATTTGGTCCAAAGGAAAAACCAGTCATTTCGAAAAACTAACAACTTAAAAGTTAATTTTAACGACAAAGGGACCATCCTTGTTGGATTTGAAAACGTATTTAACCACTAATCTTACCCTAATAAAAGATATCCTAAGTTGCTATTTTTTGTAAACCACATGTACCAATGACTTATATGGGTAACTATGTTTCAAAATCGTTCAAAAAATACCATTCAAGTTTGGTGTGTTTAAAAAACACCATCCAAGTAAAGCATTTGTACAAAAAACATCAACGAAATACGTTCTTTGTTCAAATTTGACCTTGTGGTAACCGGCAATTACCGGTAAAAAATAAATAAAGGAAAAAAACAAGAGGAAATGATTCAAAATGGTAACTATGTTTCAAAATCGTTCAATAAACACCATCCAAGTTTGGTATGTTCAAAAAACACCATCCAAGTAAACTTTTTGTACAAAAAACACCAACAAACTATATGTTTTGTTCAAATATTACCCATCGGTAACTGGCTCTTACAGGTTTAAATGATAACTTGGCTTAACTATTATGACATGACATAATAATTATTGACAAAACAATAAATGATTTATTCCTCCTTTAAAAATCGATTTAGGGTTTCTTCATAAACGAATGACTTCTTCTTCTCCTATGATTGCTCTTCTTCTTCTTCTAAAGTGATGATCTCGAACTCAAGTCCAAAACCCTAATTCTTTACTTAAGGCAAAAAGGGCTCCTTTACCACTGCCTCAATGGTACCTCCCCTTAAGGCCCAAATCCATAAAAAGTCCAAAAAGGCATCTAAGCCCAACTACAAGACCTCAAGGCCCAATATGGCCCAAGAACCCCCAACATGGCCTTAAGCCCAAAAAATGACCTGCTACAATCAGGTGGGCCCGAGCCCTAACTTAAACAAGTCCATGCATACGCCCAACATATGTTGAAGCCTCTGCGATCCGGATGTCGAGCAATTATGCCCGATGTACTCCTAGCGTACGCCCAACGTACTCGGCTAGGGTCAAGAACCGCCAATCTTCTGAAGGCCATAACTTGTTACGAACGGGCATTACAGACACCACGACGTGTTACGAACGAATATAAATTTGAATACATCGTACACAAGTATCAGAACCATATGCCAAGAAACATGCAAAAGAAATGGTACGAAACAATAAAATAACAAGGAAATGACAAGAGAGGTGCGTGTCTGTAGACCGGATAATAAATGGGGCCCATTGAGGCAAGGGTAAAGGAGCCATTTTTGCCTTAAGTCAAGAATTAGGGTTTTGGACTTGAGTTCGAGATCATCACTTTAGAAGAAGAAGAGCAATCATATGAGAAGAAGAAGTCATTCGTTCATGAAGAAACCCTAAATCGATTTTTAAAGGAGGAATATATCATTTATTGTTTTGTCAATAATTATTATACCATGTCATAATAGTTAAGCCAAGTCATCATTTAACATGTAATAGTCAGTTACCGGTGGGTAATATTTGAACAAAACATATAGTTTGTTGGTGTTTTTTGTACAAAAAGTTTACTTGGATGGTGTTTTTTGAACATACCAAACTTGGATGGTGTTTTTTGAACGATTTTGAAACATAGTTACCCTTTTGAGTCATTTGCTTTTGTTTTTTTTCCTTTACTTATTTTTTACCGGTAATTGCCGGTTACCACAATGTCAAATTTGAACAAAGAATGTACTTCGTTGGTGTTTTTTGTACAAATGCTTTACTTGGATGATGTTTTTTGGACACACCAAACTTAAATGGTATTTTTTGAACGATTTTAAAATATAGTTACCATATAAGTCATTTTCCCTTTTTTAAATTTTATCTAACTAAAAAAACCCCACCCCATTTTTATCAATTGATCACCCGAAACCACATAAGAAATCGAACCCTAGCCTCGTTCCTCTTTCTCTAGCAGGTAACATCTTCTGAAAACTCTTCGGTTTCCTCTCGTCTTGTTCCTCTCTTATTACGCTCGAACCCTAGCAGACTCCTTGTTTGATTTGTGGTTCGATGTCTGAAAATTAATCTGCACTCTAAAGCTGTACATGATCGATTTCTAAAAATCGATTTCTCACAGGATCGTGCCACCATGATGACCGCCACCGACACCATGTTGACTACCATAATAACTCACCATAACCAATTTCCAAATTTCAGAAGCGTATTTGGATGATTGAGCTCAGATTACTTCATCTTCATGGTAGATTGATTGACTGACTGTTATTAATGTATCCAAGTATGGAACAAAATTCATCTACTTTATCTCTTAAGTTATCAATTGTTTGTGGTTGTTATAGTTTGTTCGACTTGATTTATACCAAATTAGGTTTTTGGTTATTCAGTAGTGGTTTAACGTTGATATAGTTCCTAATTTGGAAGTTCAGTTTTGCTTCTTTCTGAGTTCTAATTATTCAAATGCAAATATGAATCAAATGCAATAAAGTATGCCATGAGAGCTCTCAGAAAGCGTCATCTTGAGGAGGAGGGAGCTTATCCCCTGCTTTTACACAACTATCTCAAAACCTGTTGCTTCTCAGGTTCCCTTGATCTGTACTCCAAAATCCAAATATAAGCATACACTGTAGCTTTATTTTGTTTTTCTAATTGAATAAAACTTGTATCAACATACTTACATATATTTACCTATAATTATGCAATATGCTTACATTTATTTACCTATAATTAAAAGCAATATGTGGTGAATAAAGTAGAATGTTATATTTTGTAGCATTTGATTGAGTGGTTTTATTTATTTATTATTATAGGTGGTTGCAGCAACAAAAAATGTTGAGATAGATAATAAGAAACTAACTGAAGCCATACAGAGGAGCAACAAGAGTAACAACAGTAGCAGAACTTTTCTCTTACTTTTCATTGTTGTTTTTACTTTTACTATTCTTTTAATATATTTTTTTTTCTTGACAGATATAATTAACTAATACTTTTACTATTCTTTTTCTTTTATTTGCAATTTTAATAGCGAAAAATGTAAACTGACCCCATCGTAGATAGTTTTAGGTTTGATGAAGCAAAAAATATGAACTTACTTTTATTGATATGTTATTTATTTACTTAATCAATATATTGGGCCTTAAAATTCATTACCATAGTGGATGCCTCGTATCACAAATTCAAACAAAATAACCCATGCGCAATGTTTAATTGAGAAGCAAATACAAGAAGCATCGTCTCCAAACAATCACTGGACTTTGATTCATAAAGGTTTTTATTTTTTATATTTTTTATAGCAAGAAAATAATATAAAATTTAGGGATTGTTTGTTTACCTCTTAATTGAAAAATTAAGAGGCAATCTCTTAAAAATTCAGATATTGATTGTTTGGTACCCTCTTAAAATATACATCTGAATTTGTTAAATACCTCTTAAAAATCAGACTTCACCCGGCATCTGAACAAAAAAAAAGATGCAGCTGCCCCTTAGTTCTCGCTCTTTCTTTCTTTCTCAAAATCACGCCTCCACTCCTTTCTTCTCATCAACGCGCACACAAAAACCTACATCGATCTGTCGAAGCTGTGTTCCCTCCCCGTCGTCGGCCTCCTCTCCGCCTCAACTCCGACTGCTACACCACAGCACCTCCGGCTCCGCCTCCGACGACTTCTGCAACGACTTCTACAGGTAATATCACGTCTCCGCTCTTTTATTCTCATCGACGCACACACACAAATAACTTCTGAAATCAGTGATTACTCAGATTTGCTATCGTTTTCTACTACCGATGATTTTTGCAAGTTTATGTGTCCCTGAATTCGGTGATTTCATAGAAATTTTGTTGTTTTTTTCTTTTATTTTTTCTGAAATCAGATGGTGTAGTCTTATGAAATCGTGGGTTTCTTTTTTTCCTTTGTTTTTTCCTGTGAAATATTGTTTCTTTTTGTTTTCTCTTGGATTTTTCTGAAAATTTTGCTGATTTCTTGTTTCTCTTCGTTTTTATTGTGAAATGTTGCTGAAATATGTGGAAAACATTGCTGTGAAATCTTGATTTTTGTTGTGTCTCTTGTTTTTCTACTTTCCAACAACAACAAATGACGTATTTTTTCTTTTGATTTGTTGTTTTTCTGAAATGTTGTTATGAAAGTATGCTTATGAATTCTGAAAAATCTGTGAAATCTTGCGAAATTATGTTGAAATCTGTGAAATTGATTATAAACATGTTATGGATTCACTAACTAAAAGTATGATGCTATATCTTGAACAGGCATTCATTAACATCATTTATTATGGATTGAAGTAAAGAAATTATGTTTTACACAGAAAGGGTATTTTGGGGAATAATTGAAAATTAACAAGAGAATAGAAGATTTTTACCTTTTTAGATATGTTTTAGGTTATCATTGTTTTGGAGCTTTTAATTGTTTTGGGTACAACAATTAAGAAATAGGTTTGTCATTTGTGATATGAAATCTTGATTTTCTTGTATTATTATTATAATTAGTTGCTTTGAGTATAATCAAGAAATGATAGAGTTATGTTTGATTTGGATATATGTTTAATTTTCATTAATGTTTAATTTGGATTTTATATGGTGTTTGTATATTTTTTTTTATAATTATTCAAGTAGTTGATTCGGTTATTTTATAAACAAAAACGTTAAATTCAACAAAAAAATAACACAGAAGGGTAAAATGGTCATTTTTATAATTCAGCACTATAATTCAGAGGTTTCAACCAAACAGTATTTGAAAATTCAGATCTTAAAAATTCAGACCCTCTTAGAAATTCAGACCTCTTAAAAATTCAGCTATTAAAAATTCAGATCCTGCCAAACAGTCCCTTACATAGAAGTCGACTTCAAAGTAGCATCAACGTTAACATGTTAAGATATCATAATTTCCATGTCCTTCATAGATCTTCTAGCAACATATAACGTGGGATTATTTGGCATTTTAAATAAAACACACATTCAAAATTACCATTGTTGTCCTTCAATTGGATTGAACAGCAATGATAATACATGAGATTTAATCACATCTGGACAACCATGCCCGTCTCCTTTAGCATACATGAATAGTGCCATCCTATCCAGGTTTGTTGCATGGTCTATAAACTCCCATAAAAACTTTGATTTAGCAGCTGCTCGTTCTTTGTTAAGTTTCTTCCATGTCTCGCTGATTAGTTTTTTTATATACCTTCTAGCTTCCTCTTCTGTTGCACCACTCTCATGCATGTAACACTGAATTGCTTTTGGAGTATCTCCTCTTGCCATTTCATCCTTAAAGGAAGAAGAAAATGTTTAACTTGTTTATATTCTATATCATTGAAAACACTTCCACTTCCAAATTTAATGTACGTGTGCAAAGGAAAATAGGCAAAATATGAATAATGCTAGAGCATACCGAGGATGTCCCTAAGTCATCAGCAAGTCGGAAGATTATTGATGAGTAGCGAACTATATTATTGGACATATCTATGCACTGTAGGATTTCTTTGGTTAAAGTAATTGATGTTAAAAAGGTAACATGCATGAGTACTAAAGGACCCGATATCGATACACAAGCATTTTCCAAGTACTCTTCGAGCGTGGGTGTATATCCATTGTGGTACCACTGTGCTTCTACTAGATATGACTTGCATAAGTCTCCCCACTGCAATGTTGGCATTCAAAACATAAAAGAGGATTAGCAAAAAGGGAAAGAGGAGACGGATGTTTGTCACAAAAATCACCAAAAAGGGAAAGAGTGTAATACCAAAGCACAACATTTTCAACATTAATCACATTTCTTTAAAACAAAATGAGGATTAGCAAAACTGTTGCCAATCGTTATTGAGGTAAAATTTCACAAGTAATGTTATTTTCTTACAAAATGTAAATTTTGTTTTTCTAAATTAATAATAACGGAAATAAGCCTATAAAAGAGTGATATATGAGGAAATAGGAAAGAAGAGACGGATGAGAGTGGGTTTTGGATCATTAGTTGATTAAAATTAATCAAAAGGAGGTGTCCTTTTTCCTTTTCCAGAAGACAAACCGATTTGGATCATGAAAAGAAAACACGTTTGATTCCCAACTACATAAACAAATTAGATAGAGATCTGCAAAAAGAAGTGTGCCATATTTCTTTTCTTAATGAATCTATTTTTTAATATGTTAAAATGATATTTTCAGGATATAATATCCTATTTGGGAAAAAAATTAAACATTATAAAATATAATGTCAACATCGATCACTGAAATAGTATAATTTTGTAAATTTACAAATCTTTTACACATAATTGGTGATCAATTTCATAATATATTTTAAAAAGGTAATCATGCATGGTGTTATGTCGATCTTTATCTCTATTGGTCATTTTAGTAATTAACTCAACATAATAGTGTGACTATTATGAAGAAGGATTACTTACTACTTTATTTAGGTACGTAAGGATGAGAAATCCCGTGTTCGTCAAGGTGTTATATGCAATCTCATTTACCGAATTGTAGAATCCAAGGAAACATATTTTCATATAATCTGGGAGTTCTCCTATTGCATGGATATCCCATCTATGAAAGAAAAATTCTTTAGTTCTCATTAAATTTGTGCAAATAGCAGTTAATAAATAACTAAGCATGTAATTCTAACAGAAGTGTCGAGTGTATATATATATATATATATATATATATATAATATATATATATATATATATATATATATATATATATATATATATATATATAGAGAGAGAGAGAGAGAGAGAGAGAGAGAGAGAGAGAGAGAGAGAGGTAAGTTTCGTTGAGATTAAAAATAAAATAGAGATCTTGGGATTTAACCCCAGCCACATATTTCATATTTCCCGCACTAACCCTTTGGCGTACCGGCGCGACAAACATGTTATAATCATAAATGATTATATAGCGCCGCTCGTTCTTTTCTCCTCCACCATCATCCCCACCACCACTACCACCACCTCTGACACCATTCGACCCCACTATTGTCATCTCCGTCACTTATACCACCGCCACCTCTGCCATCACAACTCTTCCGCTACCGACTGTCATAATCATATATGATTACTCAATCTGTGAACAGAGATATATGTGTAATCATTTATGATTAGGCATACCCCACTACTACCGGTACGCTGGAGCGTTAGAGCGGCAAATGAGAAATATGTGGCTGAGTTTTTAAATCTCAAATGAATCATCCCCTATATATATATATATATATATATATATATATATATATATATATATATATATATATATATATATATATATATATATATATATATATATATATATATATAATATATATATATATATATACAATCGACTGCATTTACCTGCTAATAACATCAGTAAATTGTTCAAGTTCATCCAAAGTGCCAAATACATCATAGACATCATCAATTGTAGTAATCATGGCAATAACCTTTGCCAACGTTCTCCTTCCAAGACTAAAGTGAGGTAAGTAACTAACACCAACTGCCCACAAAAAATTCTCCACTAACCGGTCTCGAGCAAAGCTTAACTTCTTGTCCCACATTGTATTTGTCCACCACCTATTTAAGGGGTACACCATGTACATGTATAACAAGTCAAGATAAAATAATTTATATCCATATGATGATATACCTTGAGGAGTGTTTTAGATCCTCGATGTGGATAGCCTGGACCAGGTTAAAATCTAGTTTTGCAAGCTCTATCAATGTGGGATTTATGCCACTTCTTTGCTCATATACTTCCATAAACCATTTCGCCTCTACCCTTGGTAATCTCCAATGCAGCGGAAGCTCCAAAGCATGTTTTACTAATGATGACGTATTTCCATCAAGTTTCTCAAGATTTTCTTCGAAATATTTGGTTGTGAAGTCTCTAACATCGTCCAATATGCTTTCATCCTCGAATGAATAATAAGAAGCTTCATACAAGTTCAGCATTCCCACCACATCCTCGAGTAATTGTGGGTTTAGATTTTGTGTCTTGTCCTTAAAGTTTAGAAATATCTCTAAATATAAAGCAAAATAAAAAAGGTTTTAGTGTATATTTTAATATAAACTAAACCTAGTGCATTGGGAACCAATGAAGATGTACACAAGGTGATGAAAGTCCCCTTTTTTTTTCAGGTGCCTAACCTTATACAATCTTAAAATTCTCAATGAATATGAATCATTTATTAGATTTACCTTGAGGAACCTGATAAGCATGTTGTCTTAGTAGTCGAAAGCCAAGGGCTTTAGTGTTCAAATCCAAGTTATTCCACTTGTTTTGAGTTTTGTAGTAATTATAGTAAATCATCTCCAATACCACATTTATTTCATCTTCAAAGTGATATGATATACCTAGTCTCTGCAACTCATCAACCAGCTCCAGAGTACCCAACGGATTTCCCACACTTTGTATCAACGTTTTCACATCTTCCTTTAGAGTATGTGCTCTTGCCGTGTAATCTTCTCCCTGTATAGGTTAAATTCTTGAATGTGACATACTACCAATCATAATATAAAAGAAAATGGGAATCTTACTATGTATTTGCTAGAGAGCGATTGAACATGATCATAGGACCATAATGATGACTTATAATTTGCAGATCGTCTAACAAGGGGTTCAGCTGCAATGAATTCCTTTGATGTCGATTGTAATGAAGATGATGGTTTACAAATGCGGAAAGATCTAGTTTTGCTATGATTATAGTTGTAATTGAGTATTGACCCATAAAAAAAGCACACCGAAGCCATCAAGGAAGATATATGTTAGAAAGTAATAAGGTGGTCTATATATAGGGATTGTATGTATGTATGTATATATATATATATATATATATATAGTGACGGACACAGGATTTTTAGATAGTAGTAACACCGATAAAATAGTAGTTGCACCTATATATATATATATATATATATATATATATATATATATATATATATATATATATATATATATATATATAAAAGAATAAATGTGAAATACATATATTGTGTGAATGTATGATCACTTATTGTCTATTAAATTTAAAACAATGAATGGTTGTCATACGAAAATTTATGTTATTAACATGAGATAACATTTATTATATAATTATACTGTATTCTAATTTATTAACATATATTTAAAAAAAATGAAGATTCCTTATTTACATCCTAATTTGATAAAATTTTATTAAATAATTATTTATCTTATTTTATAGGTTACATGAATCATTACCTCATTTTTTTAAAACCCAAGTTCCTATCATTTTATGAACACATATTTCTTTTTTCATGCTTATCGAAGTGTTTTTTAAGAATTAACATTCTTAAAAAGAATACTCCTACATATCTCAAGAATTAACAATTTGCATCAAAATAATAATCGTTTTTATTGCAATTTCAGACACATTTTTTTAAAAAAAAAAATCATGTAAAAAACAACACATAAGAATTTTTCAAAATATGTGTTTTCTTTGAGAATATAACTATTCTCTCAAAATATAGGCAATATGTAATATTTTTTTTATATAATATTTCAATGATTCGCCAAAACTATAACACCAAACAAAATATGAACTATTCCTTTACACATAATTAGATGTTACATGGTATAACATATTTTTGAAGAATATGCAGTAAATAATATATTCTTTCTATGAATTCTCAAAGAATAATGAGAGAATGTCATTCCAAATAACACAATCTCTATTTTTCCAGTAAATGTCGGAACTCTTTGAACGACCTTTAAATCCCTTTGATGATGTTATGACGTGGTTATAAGACTTACAATTTCCATATAAAAAAAACTGTGTAATGATACTTGGAATTTCCATATAAAAAAAACTAAAACAATAAGATTTACAATTTAAAATTTAAAATAAAAATAGAAAAATCATATGTGTTACTATATGTACCCCACTTATATAAATCGTTACATCATAGGAGGGGAGAGGGTATATAAACACTATTACATTCACACATGAGGGTACACAAAACAATTTAGGGGTCGTATAAAATTTCTCAAATCATATATCACTTTAGTTTTCTAATATACGAACCAAATAATGAAGTTGATAAGCAATAAAGCATCCATCAATCAAATTTACGAAGTTGATAAGCAATAAAGCACTCATCAATCAAATTTGTTGTCCAGGTAAAACTCAACAATCCACTGTTTATGTGAAAATAATTGACCATATGATGACAAAAAAGAAAAAAAAATCCATTTTGCATCACAAAAAATAAATTCAAACTTGCATCACAGATTATAGTGACTAAAAAAATCCCAAATTGCATACATTTAAATTAAATTCATTAGAAGATATGTTTGAACACAATAATCAAAATCCCCAGTATATGATGTGGGTAAATAGAAGTAAAAAGTAATGAAACATACTTACTAATACCCCCATTCTTAGGTTAATACATGATCCTTAGCCTTAACATTGAGATTGAAGTGCGCCGAATAATGACTAGGCTTCTTCCATCTTCAAAATAAATAGCCAGCCACCTAGCACATTATATTATATATATATATATATATATATATATATATATATATATATATATATATATATATATATATATATATTAAATCCAAATGAGCTTAGGAATACTACCTTTTTAGGCTTTAGGTTTTTGCCACAAAAGTTTACTGAATTTGACACTTTTAGTACCTAAAGTCAAAATTTTTACATTTTTGCCTTTTAATTAAGTTTTTGTGCCTTAAGGTTTTTGCCACAAATCTTTAATGACTTTGACACTTTTAGTCCTTGCAGTCAAAGGTTTTACATTTTGGTGTTTTTGCCACAAATCTTTAATGAATTTGACACTTTTCGTCCTTGTAGTCAAAACGTTTACATTTTGACATAAAAAACACAGAAAACTTCCTTTAAAATTTTGCCACCATATTTTCCCAACTTTGACCACTTTAACATTATTGCCACAAGATTTTTGGATTTTCTCCACCAATGTCCCTTCTTTTCGTTGTACACTTTTGACATCTAATTTTAGGGGTTGTCGACTTTCTCCCTATTTATAGTGATTTACAATTTCAGCACATATTTTTTAATGTTGGCCGATTTTTTCTATATTACCCCAAAAGCGGCATAGCCGCGGGTTCTTTACTAGTTAAAATTAAAACAAAATCTTTAGAAAAATTTCAATATCTTCGGTCGGTTTACCAGATAGTCTCAAATTATTATTATTATTTTCTTTTACAAAAAATCATAAAAACCGATAAAATGTTGCATAATGACCAATTTTTTCTATTTCAGCCAGTAACAAATTACTTTGAAACTATTTCATAAACTAAATCAAAATATTGAGACTTTTCTGCAAAAATTTTTATTTTTATTTTTATTATTTTATTAAAAACAAAAATAAATATATAATTTTTTTTAAATTCGTTATTGTTAATGTTATTAAATAAATACATGTATAATAAAATTTTAAATACATATTTATACATATAAAAACATATTTATATATAAAAAGTACGTATAAATATATATATATGGAAATTTTTATATATTTATATATTTTTATTATTTTATTAAATACATATATAAAAAAAGTTAAATAGAAAAACTTTAGAAACAATTTTAAGGTATATATATATATATATATATATATATATAGATATATATATATATATATATAATATATATATATACATTTTTCATATGTATTTAAATAATTTTACCTTTAAAAAACATTTTTAATGTTTTTTTTTTCATTTAACCGTTTTTACACATGTATTTAATAATACTTATAAATGTGTTTTGTACTCTTCACATTATCAGTAATACAAGTTGTCTTTTTGATATTTATGTTGTTTATCATTCATTAACTTCAAGTATTGCAAACAAGCATGGTTAAGATACAACTATGTTGTTTATTACTTGCTTTATGTTGATGTTGTAATTGTTGATCATCTTATAGTTTCTGTTTAGCTGTTCTTCATTCTACATTTTATTTATTGTTGAGCTGTTATTATATTTATACACTAGGTTAATACCCGTGGAAACCACGGTTAAAAAAAAAAACAATATTATAACTTCAAATCGTATGATTAATCAAAGATTTGCAAAAATTTATTAATTTAAAAAGATAAAAGTTAGTCTCTAAGTTCATAAAAATTAATATATACATTAATATGAATATCTTAATAAAATCATGATTTTGTACAATGCAATATAAATTTAAATAGAATAAAATGACATTGTTATATGACAAATTAGAAATTATGGTATATAATATTCATACATAAACTCAACACAATAAATTCCAAATTAAAATGATTAAGAAAGTTCAAGATGATTTACTAAATATAAGTAAAATATGATATAAAAAAATAAAATCTACAAATTATCAATATATTTTTATTTGGTAAATTCTCACATGTAAATTATTCTTTAGAAAGTTCAAGATCCTTATGATCTTTTTGATGAAAATTTGGAGTTGCATACTTATGTTTTAGGTGAAATTAAAAACTTAAAATAAACATATCATAATGGATGACGTTGATACAAAACATGTACAAATTAAAATTGTTTTGATATTAATAGAATAACATGCACATTATTTTGAATTAAAAAGATAGTGGCAAATTTTTTCAATTATAGAATAAAATCTTAAGCTACAGTGTTATATGAAGAATAGGAGAAAAAAAGTCTATATAACCCAAGATACCAATGCACTGTGTTTGATCAATAAACCAGATAAGACCCATACATTCTTATGCAAATATAAAACCCAACCATAACCAATATGAAAAAAAATGAAAATGTGATATACGTCATCCAAAGCAATAGCTTCCTCTACTAACATCATTGTATTTGCCACAATGTTATGAAAAAATAGCATCTAAAACATTAGTTAAAGATCTATTAAAAATACATAAAATTCTACCACTTTCAACACAATCCTAAATGAACCAGTCAAATAAAATAAGTACATAACAATCTAATAAGAAAAAAAATACAAATTGATTGTTAAATGAAACAGGTAAATGCTAATACTAAATGAAGACATGTAAATGCTAGAAAAACAAAACCAGGATAACATACAATAAAAGATCATAACATGTCACAAACATAAAAATTAGAAGTTGTGGCCTTACCATAATAGGCAAATGCATATCTCACAAAACTTTGAAATTAAAATATTATCAAAGGGTTACGGTTGACAAATAATTCTGAAAATAATGAAAAACATCTCAAGATAATTAGCCCTATTTTTATATACACAAGATGTCTGTTCCTGTTTCCAAACAATGCATAATGAACTAAATCAATCAATATTTGAAACTACATTTCATTTTTTGAATTCCATAAGGGAACTCAGTGTGACATTTTACCAAACAGGTAATAAGTATTTAAACTTCATACCAGAAATTGCTTTATAATAAACAGTCATATGCAAAAAAAAAAAAAAAAAAAAAAAAAAAAACAGATTTGTTTATACAGAAACGCAAACCTATTTGTTATAAAGGAACGTGATATAGAGAAAGAAGACAAATGATGATGAAAAATATACACCATAATTTTAATTAGCTTCAACAGCGTATCAACTGATAATCAAAATAATGAAGGTTCAAAGATTTAGTATTACAGTGTACATCGACTTGACCGAGAAATTTATACTGATTTGAATAGACGGTGAGTTTGTTGTTCTTGTAATTTCAAAATTCAAATAAAAAATTATGGAAGGCAAAATCACCGGTGGTGCAGTTGTAGTTTAACGCTATATGTTTGAGGGTGGTTGTTGATAAAGGAGATTTTTCGACGTTAGGGTTTGAGAGAGAG